CAGTAGTGTTAGCTTTTCTAATTGGTTAAATAAATTTGAGTACGTATCATATACTATACATACATCAAATAATGAGATGCTTGAATTTTTTAATCATATGGTGCATGCTGATGTCCATAAATGTGTTAAACAATATTATCCGTCTGTCAACTTCTCTGAACATCCATATGAGGATATAATAAATTACTATCTACGTTATTTTGATCCTTCTAATGAAAATAATTTACACAGAAATCGTTTTATGTGTCGAATTCAATATAAACACGAAACATTAGAAAGTTATAGTACCTGTTTACAAAAATTATCCCAGAAGTGTTCTTATACAAGTCAATTAGATGAAATATTATGCGAACAATTTCTTAACGGAATTCGTGAAGATGAAATAAGAAATATTTTAATCAAATTTCGTGGCCTAATGTTCGATGAAACTGTAGAATATGCCATTGCGTTAACTAAATTTAAAAAAAAAGCTACTTATCTACTTACAGAATTTTCAATGATTAATACTTACGATGCCGTGAAGGAAGTTACATTTTATGATTGGTTAAATAAATTTGAATATGTAACAGATGTTATCGGCGTAAAATATAATGGAAGGGTTCAATTTTTCAAAGAGATGGTACATAATAATGTTAAAGCTCGTGTTGAAAAGTATTTCCATAATGATAGCCTTACTTTAAGTTCTTACCATTGGATAATAGATTATTACATTCGACATTTAAGTTTAACTCCGGAATCGTATTTCCACAAAAGACGTTTTAGGCATCGTAAACAATGTAAACAGGAAACGATCGAAAATTTTTCTCGTAGCTTATCGAAATTATTAGATCTCTGCAATTACGACGATATTTGGATTGAAATATTACGGGAACAATTTCTTTATGGAATTTATGACAATAGAGTGAAAATCTATATTGATAAATATCCTGACCTATCATTCAAAAAAATGGTATTAATTGCAAAGGCATATTCAGATGAATTAAGTTTTCTAGAAGATGTTTAATTGTAATTAAAAGTATTTTAAAATAAATAATTTATAAAGTATAAGCAGACTACTATTACGCAAAATTTGATGACTTTTACGATTTACGTAAATATTTATAAAATAGACAATAATTTACTATTATAAAATCTGCTGTCATTTCACATCCGTAAAATTATTTTATAAACTATTTAAGAACATAAGTGTTCTTCTTAAAACGCTATACTTGCAAATATAAAAAAGAAGATAAAAATAAAATGTTTTGTTTTATCTTCCTGCACAGTAATTGTGCACATTATTGAAAAAGTTTAAACAATAAGTATTACATCTTACACAATAATGAAAAAATATTTATGTTTAAAGTATAAAAATTTGTTTTGAAAACTAAACTTATGTTAAATAAAATATAAACAAGAAATGATATTTGATATTTAAACGTATATTGTTATCTATTTAAATTTTGTACTAAATGGGACACCAATTATTTATGATATTTATGTGATGTGTGTGTAGACGAGAGAAATAAAGTTTCTGCATACCTGAGACTATTAACATAAAGAGTTACTAGAAAATCGGAAAAAAATTTAAATAGTCAAATAACGATAGTCTTTTTTATGACGAACTTAATACTAAATAGGAGAAGAAGCATTTAAAAAGGCAATAAAAGCTTTTTAATCAGACAGACGACTTGTCTTAATGTATCAGTATTACCTTTTTTTATTTTTTTCTGTATTTTATTTATAAGAATATATTGTATTTCAAAAAAGAACGGTACTCTTGCTGAACTATACGTTCACAGACATTATCAGAATCTTTATTATTTTTTCATTCCATTTCATTTCGAAGAAGTATTTAGACAGAAGAAATTCTGCACTTATGCAATGATTGATTATGAATTATGTATTAAGATAACCTAATTAGAACTTTTCAGTGTAAAAAATCAATCAGAATTAAACATTATCTAGAACATATAAAATATTATTAGAATAATGAATACTTATCGAAACATTATGAGAATATTTATTTGTCAAAATTATGTATTACTATAAAATATAATAAAACTCATAAAATCATAAGAAGATGATAATATAACTGATTACTCTTTTACCCCTTATATTTATTATATTCCTCGAACTGTATATTGTGCTTATAAATAAATCTTTATGTATCCTTATGTATAAAAATTGAATCTTACATTGTCGGTTTTCCATAGTCTCCTATACTACTGAACCGATCTTAATGAAATTTTTTGAGTAAAAATTCCTATAAAATGAGAATGATTTAAAAACTGATGAATATTGAGCTTTCAGAATTGATATTAATAAAAATTTTTAAATTAAATACAATTTTAATATTTAATAGTATTATTAATATTGCGTTTTTTTTTTGCGTTGTAATTTGAAACAAGGTGAGACGAATAAAATCTGACCCAAAATTGTTCTGTTTTTTTTTCAAAAATTTAAAAGTATTAGTTGCAACAAAAAAAAAGTACTTTTATGTTCTGACTTAAGGAAAAGATATCTAAATTTCACAGAAAGGCTATCATCTACCTGAGCTACTAAAATAGGTATATTATATTTATTTAGGTTAGGACGGTTTATTCGACAAAAATTCTACAATTTATTTTTCTATCTACGGATAAGCATTCAGCATATTCTATCCTAATTGATACAATTCTGAAAGTGATTGTTTTTGTCATCTATCCCTATCCTAAGATTATACCAGTGCCTATTTATATATATGGTAACAATATTATAATAAATAAACCCAACAATTATATTACTCCTGATATTCTGCATTCTTCAAATTCTATCGAAACTTAGTTTTTTGATGGTTTCACCTCTAACACGTGTGATAAACACACATGATTTTTTTTTAAATTCATAAACTATATTAATTATTTATTTCGGGTTAAATAATGCGTTTACCGTTGTATAATTTTTCGTTATTACTCTTTTGCAAACACAATTAGATTTGACGGTCTTCGCACACGTAAGCATGCTTCATATAGTGTCTCAAAGACGAAACATAAATTTTAAAAATCCAGGAAGCTAATTGACTGCATAAAACGTATTTCTGGTTATTAGGAAAAACAAATGAATGGGGAATTAAAGCCTGCATTATTTGATTTTGAAGTTGAAAACAAAAATTATAATGCATTTAAAAATATATATATAGCATTATTCTTCTTATTTAATGAGAGATAAGGTCAAATAATGCCGATTTTTTGCTTAGACTACAAAATTTAAATATACTCTAAATTAAAATGTATTAAAATAAAAATACCAAATTTTATGTTATTTTATGTTTGATTTAAATTCCAAGAAATAATTAGCTAATATTAATTTGACTGAATTTTAAATAGCATAAAATAATAATTACTCAACGTTTTATAATATAACCGTTAAACTTATTGTAATCGTATTATATACTTATATAAACATATATAAGCGTATTCTAATCAACTCGTGAAAGGATCGTTGTATTATATTATTATTTACACTTATGACAAATGTAGGACGCTAAAATAAATTTCCCTTACTACTTTTATGTATGAACAATAATATTTAAATCGACTAGTTTTCAATCGTATATTAAATCGTTAAGATATTAGTTGAAATTAATACGTTTATTCGCGTAATCCTTATAATTGACAAAGAATTTTTTAACAAACATTAAAACACTTAAATCCTTTACTCATAAATTAGCCTTAGAAAAAAATAAAAAAATATATATCTTATATAAGTGTTCTTAAAAAAAAAGTGTTTCGAATAACTTTAGGAAAAATGTATTCAAATAATTGATCAAAGAAGAAAAAATCACTATTAAAAACTTTAAAAATATTATCGATATAATAATAATAAAAAATATAAAGCATTTTCTAATTAAAGAACAATGGATGAAGATGCTCATGTACGTGAAGATAATGAGCTAATACATTATATAGATGATATACTTGAAATGACATATTATGATGAAAGAAATAAAAAAAAGATTTTTTGGTTCTGGTTAAATAAATTCGAATATCTAGCATATAAAATCAAAGTACCGGACAATAAAATGGTTGAATTATTCCTAGAAATGGTGAATAAAAATATACAAGAAGATATCAACAAGGAACATCCCAATGTCAATTTCACTGAACAGTCTTATGAAGAGATAATAAACCATTACGTTAATTATTTCAATTATTCTCCAGAAATTCTTTCCAGCAGAAAACCTATTAAGAATCAAAATAATTATGAACGAGAAGCAATAGAAGAATTTGCTAATAGATTACGATGTATGTATGGTTCTATATATATTAATAATCTTCAAGTAAAAATGGCCAAATTATTGGTTGCTAGATTCAACAATTTCAGAATAACAAAATATTTCAGAGAAAATACTTCTGTATCATTCTGTTTCGAATCAGCCCTTAATTTTGTATGTACTATTGAAAAAGCACTTTATATTAATTCAGCCAATTCGTTTATTAAAATATACAATCCAGTCAGTAGTGTTAGCTTTTCTAATTGGTTTAATAAATTTGAGTACGTATCATATACTATACAAGTATCAAATGATGGGATGCTTGAATTTTTTAATCATATGGTGCATGCTGATGTCCATAAATGTGTTAAACAATATTATCCGTCTGTCAACTTCTCTGAATATCCATACAAGGATATAATAAATTACTATCTACGATATTTTGATCCTTATAATGAAAATAATTTACACAGAAATCGTTTTATGTGTCGAATTCAGTATAAACACGAAACATTAGAAAGTTATTGTAAGTGTTTACAAATATTATTCTATAAGTGTTCTTATACAAGTCAATTAGATGAAAGATTATGCGAACAATTTCTTAACGGAATACGTGACGATGAAATAAGTAATATTTTAATCAAATTTCGTTGCCTTATGTTCCATGAAATTGTAGAGTATGCTATTGAGTTAACTAATTTTAAAAAAAAAGCTATTAATCTACATCCCGAATTTTCAATGATTAATTCTTACGATCCCGTGAAGGAAGGTCCATTTTATGATTGGTTAAATAAATTTGAATATGTAACAGATGTTATCGGCGTAAAATATAATGAAAGGGTTCAATTTTTCAAAGAGATGGTACATAATAATGTTAAAACTCGTGTTGAAAAGTATTTCCATAATTATAGCTTGACTTTAAATTCTTACCATTGGATAATCGATCATTACATTCGACATTTAAGTTTAACTCCGGAATCGTATTTCCATAGAAGACGTTTTATGTTTCGTAAACAATATAAACAGGAAACGATCGAAAATTTTTCTCGTAGCTTACAGGAATTATTAGATCTCTGCAATTACGATGATATTTGGCTTAATATATTAAGCGAACATTTTCGTTATGGAATCTATGACAATAGAATAAAAACCTATATAAATAAATATCCTGACCTATTATTCTATAAAATAGAACCAATTGCAATTGCATATTCAGATGAATTAAGTATTCTTGAAAATGAAAAATTGTAGCTAAAAGTATTTTACAATATATAATTAAAAAAGTATAAGCAGATTACTATTCTGCGATATTTGATGACTTTTACAATTTACGTAAATATTTATATAATAGACTATATTTCATTATTATAAAATCTGCTGTCATTCTACATCTGTAAATTTATTTTATAAACTATTTAAGCACAAAAGTGTTCTGTCTAAAACGTAATACTTGCAAAGATAAAATAAAAGAAATAAACAAAATGCTGTTTTTTATCTTTAAACAGTAATCGTGCACATTATTGAAAAAGCTTACAGAATAAGTCTTAGATCTTACACAATTATGAAAAAATATTTATATTTAAGGTATAAAAATTTGTTTCGAAAACTAAACTTATGTAAAATAAAATATAAACAAAAAATGATAATTAATATTTAAACGTATATTGTTATTTGTTTAAATTTTGTACAAATTCGGGACACCAATTATTAATGATTTGTATGTGATGTGTGTGTAGACGAGTGAAATCGAGTTTTGGCATGCCAGAGACTATTCAATTAAAGAGTTAGTAGAAGATCAGCTAAAAAATTGAAACAGTCAGATAACGATAGGATTTTTTTATGACGAGCTGTATACTAAATGGAAGAAGCATTTAAAAAAGCAATTAAAGTTTATTAATCAGGCAGACGACTTTTCTTAATATATCACTATTGCGTTTGTTTACTTTTTTTTTCTATTTTATTTATAAGATTTTCTGGTTATTCATGAAAGAAAGGTACTTTTGCTGAACTAAACGATCACAGACATTATCAGAATCTCTATTATTTTTTCGTTTGATTTCATTTCGAAAAAGTATTTAGACAGAAGAAATTCTGCACTTATGCAATGATTGATTATGAATTATGTAAGAGGATAGCCTAATTAGAACTTGTCAGTGTAAAAAATCAATACAAAATTGATCATTATCTAGAACTTATAAAATATTATTAGAATAATGAATACTTATCAATACATTAAGAAAATACTTATTTGTCAATATTGTTTATGGCTATAAAATATAATAAAATTCATAAAATCATAAGAAGATGATAATATAACTGATTACTCTTTTACCCCTTTATATTTATTATATTCCACGAAATGTATATTGTGCTTATAAATAAATCTTTATTTATCCTTATGTACAAGTGTTTCTTTCGAATTTTTATAAGAATGGGAAAATGATACATGCATAGTAATATCTACAAAGAACTCGAAAATACAATTTCATTTTTCTTAGTATTTTAATATTTTTGTCTTTTTATTTAGACATCTATACGTGATTTTTATCTTTTTATATTTTATTGTAATCGTAAAAAAGTTACGTAAGGTACAATTCGTACTATTTCATTCGTTTTATTTTACCTTTATCACAATGTTTCATTTGTCACGAATTTGTGTTTTTTTATTAAAATGATTTATCGATTTAGTTGATCCAATCTTTTCAGATTACATGCTACCACGATATTTTAAATATTACAGATTTGATAAATAATAAAATCATAGTTAATAAAATTATGTTTAATTGTTATTTTACATAAACGTCAAGTTAATGGAACAAATGTTTCATTTAATATTTACTTTATGTTACAGAGAGTCACGGTGGTGAACACGAAAAACGATTATTAAATAACTTATTATCAAATTACAATACTTTGGAACGTCCAGTTGCAAATGAGAGTGAACCACTGGAAGTCAAGTTTGGGATTACGTTGCAACAAATTATCGATGTGGTGAGTATCATTTTATAATGTAATATTAAATTACGTTATTTTTAGTTAACCTTATTAATTCTGTTTATATGATCAAGTATTTACATGTTCAATAAATAGTCAATGTATATTTAGTATAAATATTAATTCGATAATTTCACACATTGAATACAATATGAGTGTCTTAGACGTTGACTTATAGTACTTGTAGTTGGTTTCATCTTTTTCTACATTTGTCTAATTTTTAACAAAACATAGATAATTTTTTTAGAAATAATTAAATCAATGATTACTTTGTAATGAAAAATTCATTTATAATTTAGTATATATTTTGTGGTTAAATAAATAATGTGAATATTAATTTTTTTAATGTGTTAAGAGTAGAGAAAATACAAATCTAGATTATTTCGTGTTGCACTGGTATTTATATTATTATATATTATTATATATATATATATATATATATCGCACACTTATATATAATAAATCGCGATAATATATAATATATAATATATAATATATAATAATAATTAATATAATATATAATATTAATATTATATATTATTATATTAATATATTATTATATATAATATTTTATTATAATTATTATAATATATTATATATCGTTTGCGCGATAATTTCCGAATGGCATCAACGTGGAGTCACTGGACGTCATAGTGTTAATATAAAAAAAAATCATTTATATTTCAAGTTATTATAATACAATACCGTATACTGTTTTTTATTGTTTTAATTTGATAACTAGACTAGTTGATAAAAAAAATAATAAAAATGGTAGAAATATAAGAGTTTCTAGGACGATTGACATCCATCTAACTGGAATATTAAAAACGTAGGATCACATTGAGTAGAAGGTATAACGAATCCCCATCGATGTTGCTACGATATCAAGTTTCACGGACACATTCATTGACATCGAATGTTATTATCGTTAATGGAGAAAAGTCAGAACGTGCGACGGTACTGTTAGAAAGAACGCGTCAAAACGAACAGGTGGGGATGTGGGGTGGGGGTAAAGGAGATCAAACTGACAATGAGAGCACTCTAAACTCTTTCTCACTCTCTCACTTACTCTTATTCTCTCTCTTTATCCATATACGGTTCAACTAACCTCTATATATATGTTACAAAGGAGACGAGAAGCATAATAGAAAGCTTTCACAACAAACTTCCATCGGCCGATGGATATATGGCACTCGTAGTATTGTGCATTTTAATGTCGATAGAAATGGTAATGGCTGTCGATGTTATATCGTCAAGAGAGAGAGAGAGAAAGAGAGAATGTTATTCTTTCTTGTTTAAAGAATTATTTTTTTGTTTAATTTTTTTTTTTTTATTGAGATTAATCGAAATTATTTTGTAATCTTTTCTCTTTTTCTTTTTCTTTTTACACGAATTTATATATAACATATTATATATATTTTATGATACAACCAAAAATTGTTTAATTTTGTAAACTTGTAATATTGAATTATATTATATATTTTTATACGTATAAATATATTTAATTAAAAAAAAAAAAAGTTCATTTTACCTCCTACTCAATTTTCATTATTTTTTGAAAAATACTAAAATAAAAAAAAAAGAAACAATTATTAGATTAGATCAAATTGATTATCAGAAACATATCAATCGATGGTCGTCTAACTTTGATTTTAGAAAAGAAAGATAAAGATAATGAACGTTATATTTCTTATAAAACTTAACGAAGTAAAAACATTTTTCTTAGAAGAAGAAGAAGAAGAAGATGAAGAAAAAGTAAGAAACATTTACAAAAGACAAGAATAGTTTATATCCGTTTCTTTACTTTCTTTTCTTTTAGATTTTTTTTCTTCTTCTTCTTTTCAGTTATGTAATAAAACGCGAAACTCTCGAAAATACTATTGTAAGTAAATATAAAAAAAAGAGACAAAAAATATGAAAAAAGGATGAATGAAAAAAAAAAGTAAAAGCAAAGATGAAGGAGAAATGAAATATAGAAAGATCAAACTATGGATAAAAGTAAAGTATTACATAAAATGTATACTTTTTTTATAAGATAAAACCAAGAAAATTAGAAGTGAAACCTTTATAAAACTAAATTTCTAAAGAATAAGACGAATGCAAAATATCAGGTGTAAGATAATGGTAGGGTTTATTTATTATAATAATGTTACCATATACATGAAAGAGCACTGGTATAATTTTGGAATGGGGATAGATAACAAAAATAATCACTTTCCAAATTGTATTAATTAACATAAAATATGCCGAATGCTATAACCATAGATAGAAAAAGAAATTGTAGAATGTTTGTCGACGGAAAGATAGACCGTCCAAACATAGCCTTACTGTGAAATTTAGATATCTTTTCCATAGGTCAGAACATAAAAGTACTTTTTTTTTCATGCAACTAATACTTTTAAATGTTTGAAAAATAGCAAAACAATTTTGGTCATAATTTATTCGTCTCACCTTGTTTTGAATTACAACGCCTAAAAGAAAACGCAATATTATTAACACTATTAATTATTAAAAATGTATTTAATTTAAAATTTTTTATTAATATCAAGTCTGAAAGCTCAATATCCATCAGTTTTCAAATCATTCAAATTTTATAAGAATTTTTACTCAAAAAATTTCATTAAGATCGGTTCAGTAGTTTCGGAGTCTATGGAAAACCGACAATGTAAGACTGAATTTTTATACATAATTATATACAAAAATTTACTAATAAGCTTAATATATAGTTCGGGTAATATAATAAATATAAGGGGTAACAGAGTAATCAGTTATATTATCCTCTTCTTATGATATTATGAATTTTATTATTTAAAGTGATACATAATATTGACAAATAAATATTCTCATAATGTTTTGATAAGTATTAATTATTCTCATAGTATTTTATAGGTCTTATATAATGTTCAATTCTGTATTGATTTTTTACACTGACAAGATCTAATAAAGTTATCCTAATACATAATTCATAATCAATCATTGTTTAAGTGCAGAATTTCTTCAGTCTAATTACTTTTCCGAAATAAGACCGAAGGAAAAAATAATAGAGATTCTGATAATGTCTGTGATCGTTTAGTTCAGCAAATGTACCATTCTTTCTTGAAATAAAATATACTCTTATAAATAAAATACAGAAAAAAAAGAAAACGCAATACTGATACATTAAGACTAGTTGTCTGACGGATTAATAAACTTTAATTGCCTTAGAAATGCTTCTTCTCCTATTTAGTATAAAGTTCGTCATAAAAAAGCCTATTGTTATTTGACTGTTTAAATATTTAGCAACTTTTCTAGTAACTCTTTAAGTTAATAGTCATAGGTATGCTGAAACTTTATTTCACTCGTCTACACACACATCGCATACATATCATAAATAGTTGGTGTCCCGATTTAGAAGAAAATTTAAATAGATAACAATATACGTTTGAATATCAATTATCATTTCTTGTTTATATTTTATTTTACATATGTTTAGTTTTCGAAACAAATTTTTATACTTTAAATATAAATATTTTTTCATTATTGTGTAAGATGTAAGAATTATTGTTTAAAATTTTTCAGTAATGTGCACAATTACTGTGAACGAAGATAAAACAATACATTTTATTTATATCTTTTTTTTATCTTTGCAAGTGTAACGTTATAAGTAGAAGACTTATGTTCTTAAATAGTTTATAACATAATTTTACGGATGTGAAATAATAGCAGATTTTATAATAATAAAATATTGTCTATTTTATAAGTATTTACGTAAATCGTAAAAGTCATCAAATTTTGCGTAATAGTAATCTGCTTATACTTTATTAATTATTTATTTTAAAATACTTTTAGTTACAATTAAAAATCTTCTAGAAAACTTAATTCATCTGAATATGCCTTTGCAATTGATACCATTTTTTTGAATGATAGGTGAGGATATTTATCTACATAGATTTGTATTCTATTGTCATAGATTCCATAACGAAATTGCTCGCTTAATATTTTAGGCGAAATATCATCGTAATCGCAGAGATCTAATAATTTCTGTAAGCTACGAGAAAAATTTACGATCCTTTCCTGTTTACATTGTTTACGAAGCCTAAAACGTCTTCGATGGAAATACGATTCCGGAGTTAAACTTAAATGTCGAATGTAATGGAATATTATCATATAGTAAGAATTTAAACTTTGATTATCATTATGGAAATACTTTTCAACACGAGCTTTAACATTATTATGTACCATCTCTTTGAAAAATTGAACCCTTCCATTATTTTTTACGCCGATAACATCTGCTACATATTCAAATCTATTTAACCAATCGTAAAATGGATCTTCCTTCACAAGATCGTAAGTATTAATCATTGAAAATTCTGGATGTAGACTAGTAGCTTTTATTTTAAATGTAGTTAAGTCAATAGCATACCGTACAATTTCATGGAACATAAGGCCACGAAATTTGATTAAAATATTTCTTATTTCATCGTCAMGAATTCCGTTAAGAAATTGTTCGCATAATCTTTCATCTAATTGACTTGTATAAGAACACTTATCGGATAATTTTAGTAAACAGTCACTATAACTTTCTAATGTTTCGTGTTTATATTGAATTCGACACATAAAACGATTTCTGTGTACATTATTTTCATTAGAAGGATCAAAATAACGTAGATAGTAATTTATTATATCCTTGTATGGATGTTCAGAGAAGTTGACATGCCGATAATTTTGTTTGACACATTTATGGACATCAGCATGCACCATATGATTAAAAAAATTAAGCATCTGTTTATTTGATGCACGTATAGTATGTGATACGTACTCAAATTTATTTAACCATTTAGAAAAGCTAACACTACTGGCTGGATTGTATATTTTAATAAATGAAATGGCTGAATTAATATAACGAGCTTTTTCAATAGTTACTGCAAATTCAAAGGCTGAATTGAAACAGAATGAAAAAGAAGTATTTTCTCTTAAATATTTTGTTATTCTGAAATTGTTAAATCTAGCAACCAATA